CTCCCGGCGGGACCCGCCGTGGCCCAGCCCAGCCCGGCGTGGCCCCGCGGGGACTGGCGGGAACCAAAAGTCCTGCTGGAAGAGGACGAGCCTCAGCAGGTTGGGGCAGCGGGCGCTGCTCCCGCCTCCCCTGCTCCGCATCCCGGCCAGGAGGGCAGCGAAGCCTGGCGGAGGGAGCGGGAATGGGAAGCGGGGTGTCCTGCTCCCCGGGATGGGGGGAGAGGGATGAGGGGGGTTCCTTTCCTGGCCTTGGGGAGAACTTTGGGGTGAGAGCAAAGCGACGTCGTCTGTGTGAGGACTGAGAGTGGGTCTGAGCACTGCACCCACAGACAGCCCCACGGGGCAGAGAAAGAGCAGAAAGGAAACAACCCTCACCTTCCACCTCCCCTCAGCTGCTGGTGGCCTCGCTCTGTGTCCCCTGTCACACTGTCCCCCAGCACAGGGTCCCCTGTCACAGTGCCCCCCATCATGCAGTGTCCCCATCACTCCATGTCCCCCACCATTCCTTGTCCCCATTAGTGTCCCCATCACACCATGTCCCCATCGCACCACATCCCCATCATTCCATGTCCCCATCACAGTGTCCCCAACACAGAGTCCCCATCACAGCATCCCCATCACGCCATGTCCCCCATCATTCCATGTCCCCATTAATGTCCCCATCACACCGTGGCCCCATCACAGTGTCCCCATCACAGAGTCCCTATCACACCATGTCCCCCATCACAGTGTCCCCATCATGCTGTGGCCCCATCACAAAGTGCCCATCATGCGATGTCCCCATCACATCATGTCCCCCATCATTCCATGTCCCCATTAGTGTCCCCATCACATCGTGGCCCCATCAGTGTCCCCATCATGCTGTGGCCCCATCACAACAGACAGCCCCACGGGGCAGAACATTGCCCCACAAACAGCCCCATAGGGCCCAGAAACACCCCACAAACGGCCCCATGGGGATGACCATCGCCCCACAAACAGCCCCATGGGGCTGCTCCCCAGCCCCACATCTCCCTGTTGCTCCCCCTCCACCAGCTCCATCCTCCCCCCCCAGCTGCTCTGGGGTGGCAGGGGGGGGAGAGTGTCCCCATCACACCATGTCCCCATGACAGAGTCCCCATCCTTCCATGTCCCCATCACATGATGTTGCCACCACAGAGTCCCCATCACACCTCCCCCATCACACCTCCCCCATCACACCTCCCCTGTCACACCATGTCCCTGTCACACCACGTCCCTGTCACGCCACCTCCCCCGCTGTCACGCAGACCCTGTTGTTCTCAGCATCAACGTCCCCATCGAGCTGCAGGCAGCAGGCCCGGGACCCTTCCTCCTCCTCCTCCTCCTCCTCTTCCTCCCTTCCTTGGCCAGGACAGAAAGCTCCTTGTGAGCACAGAAAGTAGGTTACACTGCCCCGGATTTCCCACTTGGCCAAGGGCTGACTCGAGGCACGGATCGGCCACATTGTGCTGCTCTGGGCTGGAGCCACCGGGGCCGGCAGAGGGGGCAGGGGGGTGGGAAGGGGAACGGGGGCTCCTCGGTGAGGCCGAAGGCTCAGAGGGACCAGGATGGGGCTGGGGGAACCCCTGGGGGGTGAGGGCCGTGTCCCCACGGTTCCCCCCAGGGTCCCCACGATGTCCCACGGGGTCCCCACGATGTGCCATGGGGTCCTCACGGTGTCCCACGGGGTCCTCACGGTGTTCCACGGGGTCCCCATGATGTCCCACGGTGTCCCCATGATGTCCCACGGGGTCCCCCGGCTGCTGCCAGGTGTAGGTGGCCATGGCAGAGGGCTGGGGGCACAGCAGGTGGACCACGGTGTTGAGCTGGGGGCTGAGGGCTGCGGGGACACAGAGCGGGGTGAGGGGGTGACCCCACTGTCACCCCCAAGGTGCTGCTCCCACCCTCCTGGTCCCCAGTACTCAACTCTCTGCGGGGGGTTCCTCGGAGCCCCCCCAGGCGCGGGGCAGCACCGAGTTCCGGCCCTGCTGGCACAGGGGGGCTGCTCTTCCAGCCTCCACGTCCTGCAGCCACACCGCCCTGGGGCGGGG